GGGGGAAGGGGGCTGGGGGAAGGGAGAAGGGGGGGGGGGGGGGGGAAGATTGCTTAGGAAGGAGCTATCCGGCGGCTGGGTTAATGGACCAAAAGGTGGGGTGGAAAGAGTAGAACACAGTGATATGGCAATCTGTACTTACGTGAAGTTCCCATCACCTGACATGTTGATATTTTGGAAACCTTCTGGCACCTCTCCTGATAAATCATTCCAATATAGAAGGCTGCAACCAATTCACAGGAAAAACATGCCCCAACAATGACATAAATGAACTTAAATGACATTCAATTTCTCAGACAATCATTAGCAAGAGATAAACACAAGGCTGCGGTACTTCCTGTTCACCTCTCCCCCCACTACGCCCCCCCTTACCACCCTATTGTCCGTCCCTTCCCTACAAGGCGAGACAAAAATATTGTTCTTTCTACTCAGAGAAGTCACACTTTGACTTACTTGGGAGATACAATGCTCTCAGAATATCCAGGGCAAAAGATTGATAGGGAAGCATCCTTGCAAGGGTTCAGGTCCCTCAGCCGCTGTAGTGAAGCCCCAGCCCGCCCTCAGTAAAAGTGTGCCAGACATTTTGACACTGACCCTAGGTGAAGACCGGCCAGAGATTCCCCTTTGTGTCTGGCCGCAGGTCAGGACCTGTAACTACCTGGGAGGCCGAGCCTCCGAGTTAGTTACAGATGCTCGGACCTGTGCGCAGCTCCAGTAGGGTTCAGGCATTGCCTACTGGGACTGCACACAGCCTCCAGTCCAGGACAAAAGACAGGAGGCTGCCATCCAGTGACACATTCGGGCATCTGCTGCTTGCCACAGCGCTGTTGTCCACGAGGCTGAAGGATAGCAGCACCCAAAGAGAGAATAGCTGCGGGACGAAGGACGGGGTAGAGGGACGGCGTGGGTTGGTCTTCCACTTGATACTGGGTAGACTGCGGAAGTGGTGAGTAGGGGTTTTCTTTGGTGGTGGTGACGGGGTCTCCTCAATCAAGTTGAGTGCTAATTCTATGCTGCCGGCTTTTTTACTTTCAATGGAGTGTATTCTGGATCCTCCATCTCTGCTTCGTATGTTGAGCTGTGAGTCTGCAGTTGCATGGCTCAGCGTAGGCTTTGTGTGATGTTTGCAACTTTGCATATACTGTTCTGCATGGATGGATGTATGGCGTAATTGGAGTTTGAAGCTTGGCTGTGAATTCTTTGTCAGCATGAGCATGCGTGGTGAAGCATTGGAATTCTGTTTGACACAGTCTATCTTGCTTAGGTGACTGGCGCGCTTGAAACACAGTCTATCTTGCTTAGGTGACTAGCACACTTGAAGGCACACTTGAAACATAGTCTATCTTGCTTAGGTGACTGGCGGCTTGAAACATAGTCTATCTTGCCTGGGTGACTCGGTCTAGCGCAGAGTTGCACACAAAGGAATAGTAAGT